AAGCTAGTTTTTAAGGCTAACTTAAAAAAGAAATGGTTGTAAATAAAACAAGCCGCAAAGGGGAACCTTTTTACAATTCTGCTGAAATGAATGGTACACAAGTTCTCTACCGGGCTGCTCAGCGTGAACATTTAGACATCTGTGGTAATGTAGTAACTGTATTTGCAGGTGTCTCAGAGGGGTTGCATTACTTGTGATAGAGAACGATGTTTTTCTGCAAAATGAGGAAATGTTTGGGGAAGCACAAGGGACTACTTTTCTCTTGCATAACTCTGGTTTTGGCTGTGGGGTTTAGGATAATTTACACAAAACCCCATAAATCTTTAGAGAATGCTTTGCCATGTAAAAAATTAATATACTAGTTTTAGAAAACAAAAGCAATCACTAGCATATGAGAAATGAAAAGTTCTTATCATACTTTTAAGCAACAGAGCCACTGAAAGTGTCTACTTACAAATCAAAACAGTCATATCTACGCAGATTTAAGTTCTAATACAAGTTTGTCTCTGGTTTTAGAGAGTCCTGTCAAGCGTACAGAGGAGACTTCTTACAAACCAGACCAACTTAAATGAAGGCTGGATTCTAGAAATGCATGCTTGCTTCTGTGGTGCTCAAAGCCACGCATACATAAAGTGAATCTTGCACTGTCTTGGGACAGGAGTACATGTCAGACGGATCTGAAAACACGCTGCTTTCAGAATCCTATTTGAGATGCTGTTTACCATGCAAAAAATTTCATTTGCTTTAACAGCATCATTACACGTTGTGTCCTGTTACATATCCATGAAGTACCTAGCAATTGATTTTTGAATATAATTCACCCAACTGAATTCAGGTGGTATTTAAGCGGTACCTTAAGTACATTTAAGACAATTGAACATTTTTTTTCTTTCTGTGCAATTTCATCACTAACTCCAGTTATAACCAAAGATTCTGCCTTCAGTGACTTAGCCAAATAATTACTATGAGAATGAAATCTCTAAGTACACTGGGACTGAAAGATAAAAGCAATTTCACCTTACTGTACTGGTCACAAGACAAAGTGTCTCTAAAAACTATGATGGCTAAAGAGAGAGAAATGTCAAATTCAGAGACCACTTCTGCTCCCAGGTTATTTTCTTTTCCCTGTAATTTCTATTACCTTTACAAAACCATTAGTTTGTGAAGAATGTTTAAATTTATGCTGCCATAAATGCTTTTCCTTTTTTTTTTTTTATTATGGAACAGTTTGTGATTGTAGGCACAAGCACTTGCTTTTCCACAGAAACCATGATAGCTTGCCAGCCTGCCATGAAGTGTTCTTTCCTTTCTACACACCCTACCCACCCAGATTTGGTAGAAACCAGACAAAAAACCTTCTCTGCACAAGGCTACAAAATCACCACATTTACTTATTTCTTCTCTATAGCAAGAAGGTAACAAACAAAAAAAATCACGGAAGAAAACCTACCTAGCAACACCTCACTAGTCTCCCACTGACAGCTGAGATAACGTTCTCTTCATTTCACTACTTAGCTAAGTAGCAGAAGCACTTTACTGCAGGAAATCCAACCTTTATTTCTTGCTACACATTACTAAAATTTGGAGACTATATTTTAAAGGCCTATCTCTCTGCTACCATCTCCTCTTTCTAACTACTTCTGCTGACTCCCAGAACGGAACCAAACCCCAGGCTTGTACCTGGGGTACACCTACTGATGATAATGCTCCCCTCTCGCCTGATAAAGCCTTAATGTATTGCATTTACAGTTCTAGATACCAGGATATCTGGGTCTAGACGTAATCCCTAACTGGAATGAAACGTTCCTGCGTTTTCAACTTGATCTTAAATGATTAAGAGTAGGAAGCTTCCGTTCAAAAAAACAAAATAATTCAGATGATCATGACAAAGAATAATCTGATGGAGGGTCTATAAAAGAAAGATATGAGAAGGCAAGCAAGCTATTATTTACTCAATTTCATGATAACAGAAATAACCAACGAAATTATCAGGAATCAGTAAAAAAGTAAGAGAGGAACAGAAGTACTTTCTCTACACAATGCATAGTGAAATCCTACAGCCTCTGCCAAAGATGTTGAGGAAGCTAAAACCTAAGAACTGTATAAACTGATGAAGGATGCATCTATTAAGAGTTATTAAGCAAAGGTTCAGATACAAATCTCAACTCAGGAAGTACCTAGAACAATGACTACTGGAAATAGACAGGGAGTGAGATCTTTTTTCTAACTGACAACTGTTGGGGACAAAAATCACTAGGCAGACCTTTACATTTGCCCAGTTAACAGCCACAGATAAATTCTGTTCAAGTTTTACAAAGATAGCTGATCTTGCCAAACTTCCCCCGTTCAAGATGGCAGAATCTACAAACTGAACTGACACTGTATGTCAGGAGATAGATACAATCTTAGAACGGTATAATGCCTTCTTAAAAAGGCATGTGCGCTTGTGAGGAAAAACGTACAAAAATCCAGACTGGCTCACATATACCAATCACAGCCAAAATCTAATCCAATGGAGGAAGAGCAGTGAGCTGAATTCCCAAATTCTAACCTGATGAACTACTGAAATACTTATTTTTTGATTTTTCAGGTGTGAGTTTTGTTAGGGCTCTGGAGTGTTTTGGTAGTTATTCACACAGCGTATCAGGATCAATATTAAAATTTAGAGCTTGAGACATGACAGGGATTTAAGGTCACGCTTATCAATGCAGAATTCTTTGAGTCATTGTCGACTTGGGTGTTAACACGCTATTGTAAAAACAAGGGCAATTACTACATGTGCTGGCAGGTTCAGCTAGCTCTGTCTCTATTCAAATGACGACCATTCCGGCGAGAAATAGCACTGTACGACAGATGTAGTCCTAGAGAGAAATTTTTAACAGAAAACCCTATGAAAATTTAAGCTGAGGCTTTGAGCTTTGCTAATCTTTCTTGGTTTGCTAATTAAGGCAAACCACAAGAATGCTTGCAAACAGGAAACGAAACTAAAATATCTTGTAGCTTCTCTACACGTGTTTTTATAAACATGAACTTATACACATCTTCACCACTGAACTTGAACTCACTTATGCACTTCTACGTTTCTTTACTGCCTCCAAGTCACTGTTTGCAAATACACTGATTTTCTTTCTTATTAGCAAAAGCTGTTTCGTTTTGGAAGGAAGAGATTGCATATTATTGTTTTCTAAAACAACAAACAGTGAAAATAGAAAATAATTTTAATAGTAGTTATGCACAGGCAGCACATGCACCTGTAATTTGGTCTTTGTATATGGCATTAAAACATGCCAACTACATATTTAGATACTTTACATGTAAACCATTGCAAAAATTAAGACAATAATAATGTTGGTTTTTTGCAGATCTATGTTGTGATAAAACCCACTTAATTTATATTTTATCTGCATTGTACACAGAAGACTTAATCTTGGAATAAGGTTACCCACGATTCTGCATGTGAGCAGCACAGACTTGGTAATGTCTCTGAGTGCAGTCTCTTTCTATCACAGATAATAATTCCACCAAACGTGCCAAGATCCATTCTAGAACAGGTTACACTGTTTGCCATTGTGGCTTTTAGTAAAAGCTCTTCTGAAACCTTACTAAATGCTTTGAAATTGTTCTTGAATTTTAAGCCTAAGATTATTCAGAAACAGTTTATACCCATGTGCTCTAGTCTAGATTAAAGACAATGCTGGCACTAGATCTTCTCATACATTGGAATTTATCTCTACAAAATATATCAGAGTATGCACATCCAATCATTTTGGATTTTCATCCACTTTCCTATTTATTTCTGTATCTAATTCACCTCTCATGAAGTCTGTTGCAAGTACCCGAGATCAAACTAATGGGCCTCGATGACTCACTGTCATCTGTCAAACAAGCATTCCAGGTTTGCGAGTCTCCCACAACTTTGCAGAGCATCAAGACTGGTGTTCTCTTTACCAGGCCTATGAGTTTGTGTGCCAACTCTTGTGTTTAAAATGGAAATCACCTAGTTTTCTTACTAGAATACGTTTCGCTCAGGAGTATTGTTTTTTACTGCAGGTCTGCTGACTTCTATTTCCACATGTTCAGTCTCTTACCTTTACCTCTACATTCAACATCACCAATTGATAAGCTCAAAGGATTTCCTCATCCTAGGTGAACTCCAGGTCATCTCCAACTTCTGTGCCTTAATTCAAAGTCCTATTTTCCTGAACAGGTAAATGTAAACATTTTCTATAATGTTTCAGATAGCTTTACATGCTGTAAACTCACTACAATGACTGAACTTAATGTATATGTAAGGTACCACATAACATAATAATCTACTTAGTTATCTATTTTTCTTGTGCTTCTACAGGTTGAGACCAGTACACATCTGGTTCAAAAACAAATCAGGAGTGCCTTTTTTTTTTAATAACAAAAGTCATGCATTTGGCATCATATTCCTGTGACAGAAATTAATGTATATAGTTGTATTTTGTTTTAAGTTGGATTTCATCTATCTGAACTAAAGCTAACAGTTAAGGTAACTGTCCTCCTATTTAAAGGGGCAAACCTGAGCAGTTTGGTTTTTCAAACCCAGATCAGGTTCAAATCCAAACGCTTTATTCAAATGGATCCTTGACACAGAGGTTCATTTAAAAAAGGTTCCTGCTCCGATCCATTTCTCCTATATGCTTGTAGAATAACAATCACAGCCAGCAACATGCATATTGACAGTATTTTTCCAGTTTGCTTACATATAATTAAAAAGGGTTAGGAAACAGAAGCTATCAGATGAGGACAATACTTACACGCAGTCCACGGAGTACAAACGCTAAATATTTAAATATATTTAATAAGCCACCTTTTACATAACTAAACAACAGGCTGCCCATCTGATAATTTAAACCACTAGTTTTTATTTAACTATTATTGCCCCGCCAATCACCTCATCGTGCAGCGCTCCACAAGGAACATTTATCCACTCACCACAGACAGAGCCTCGCACTAATCTCCTTAAATGTGGTCTCTCGGGGAGGTAGCGGTATTTGCATCCAAAGATACTGAGGTTTGAGGTGTGATCTCCGAAGAACCGGAGCTGGCGGTACCTCTCCCCACAACGGTAACAGAAATTAGTGTTACACTGGGAACAGGTCATGTGGTCGCACCCTTCTGTTCTCTGGATGTGGATCTGTATAAGTGAAAGAAAAAAAGAAAATAACTATTTTTCCCCCCCTCCCTAAGCACAGGGAAGTAATCACTATCCTGTGCAGTTTGTGTGTCAGATGAAAAGACATCACCAGCAACCCCCTGCTTAACTCAGCATGTGCATTAATTAATACTGTAGCTGACCTAAGATGATAATGGTTGTCTAAGACATGTTTCAGAGCATCAAACATGAGTTATAGTTGTTGCCTATACATAACTTTCTATATAATTCTCCTTTTTTAAACACTTTGTACCAGATGAGAATCTGAATGATCCTAGCCCTTACTGAAAACTTTTTATTGCTGAAGTAGATACATTAGCAGCAAACTTTATTAAAAATAAAAACAGCACAGTAATATAGTAATGAACTCTGTTCAACCCCTCCACAGATGGGTTTCCTTTTTATGCCACCTGTGGCCCCAGTCCCTTTCCCATTACCATCACGAATTGATTTGACATTTTGTAATAAACACCAGAAAGGCTTTGCTGTTAGAGCGAATAATTTGAAAAGAATGGGTTGTTGGTCTTTTTTCTGTAAGAACTCCAAAGGATTCCAGAAACCATATAAAAGATTACACTAAGCTTTCGTAATGCCAGCAGTACAGCATGAAGCTGGGCTGCTTGCGTTCTACATCCATCTTTCTGTGACCGCCTGCAGAAATAGCTCCATTCCTGTATCTCCACATACTCTGCTGCAAAACTGGCACATTCACCTACTTTGCACAGATTTGGTAAGGCTTCAGTTTTAGTTAACAGTTCTGAGAGTCTTAGGAAAGAGGGTAGTCCTGGGGGTGAGTACTCCCCTACATGAAATATGATTACACAGCTACCTTAAATCTTGCCACTAAAAATACAACTAACAGTGGTAAACACACTTTTCCCAGCTCACAAAATTGCTAAAGACCCCACCATCCCAAGATCATGCTCCACAGTGGAATGGCAGATAAAATTACCTAATAACTGAGGTTGGAAGTGCCCCTCAGAGGTCATCTATTTTAACCCCTAGCTCCAAGCTGGGCTCACTTCACAGTCAGATCATATTGCTCCAGGCCTCATCCCACTAGATTAAAAAAATTTCCAAGTATGGGTACATCACAGTCTCTTTCAGCAACCTGTCCCATGCTTCACCCCCCTCCCCAGGAATACTTTTTTTCCCCTTACATCCAACTGAAAATTTATTTGTTGAAACTTGTGGTGGATAAATGAACACCCCCTGAAATTCTTACCCATATCTCCATGTGTTTATTTTGCAGGGAGGTACAGGTAAAGACAAGGCATCACCATTCAGTGGTCCTGCAAGCACCAGAGATGCTGAAAGCTCAGGTACAACTGCGGCCTCTCACTTCAGGAGAGGCTTGTGACTCCTGGGTGCTCAACATTCTTGAGATCGTCAAGTGTATTTCTTCTCTGGTGCTGATCAGGATTGATGTGGGAAATCTCGCTCACCTGAGCAGCTACTGAAACTGGCACTTTATACAGGTAACAAAGTGTTGTTTTCCACCAGCTATACTTCTAGTAAAAGATGCCAGGGCAGATGGGGTTAACAGTAGTTCCAGATACACCTGTCAACATCCCTGTGCCCACAACAGTGATCTCAGAATTCACATTTCTACACTTTCAAATGCTTCTTTTACACATAAGAGGGGAAAGACATTCATAAAAAGAAAGGATTGGGCTGTAAAATATTAGTTTCTAGTGGGCAAGTATTCTAGTGGACTTGCAATCATACCATAAAATGGGACCAAGCGATTAGCCCCCTCTACCCTCAGGCAGCCTGCTGTATCATAGGTGCCCTGTTTTCCAGAAGCACTTGAAAAAAATACCATTGCTGATGAGCTTTGTAAGCCACTTCACTTTGAAACTTTCACATTTAAGCACTGACTGCAAGCAAAGTGGAAAGAAAAGTCTACCCAATATTTTACCAGCTTAAGCATAACTTCTGAAGTTATAGACTATTTTCTTATAAAAGGGATATTGTCAGTTTGACTTTTGCTTTTACTTTTCAGGTTTTATATGAAGAAATGTTGACCTTACTCACAGAGCCTATATAGAAATTTGTAATTTTAGAGGTACCTTTCCTCATCTGCTGATTCAGTGACATATCTCCATTTTAAAAATGTAAATAAGGGAATTAGATCTTACAACACTAATGAGAATTAGCTGGTTGGTTTCTTTTCTTTTTGAATGAAGACTTGCATTCTTCTTTCTCTCCTCTAATTTACCAACCCAACCTATTAAGTTACCACCCATCCTAACTGAAAACCGATACTCCAGACGCAAACCAAAACTGCCTCGTATTTCAAAAATACATTCATTTTCTTTGGTAGTAAGAATTTCAAGGAGCTGCTGGCAATAGCTTTATATGTTCTACCATCAATACACTTCAGAAATAAATACCCACCTCTTGGATAGGGCCTGCCATCCTTCTACCCATGCTTTCCTAGAAGCATTCCAGCTGCAGTTAGCCAGGCACTATATCACTTCTGAATCTACTTGTTACTGATCTAAATCCTCCAGCCATACTATTCTCTTAAAACATAAAGAAGTTGATATAGGATTTATTTTCTTATGGACGCACATAGCGATTACAGGTAGTTTTATCTTTGCTTCTTCAAAAAGCAAAGTATTAAAAAATATTTAGTGAATATTCATCTGCACATATGTAACTGTCTTCAAAAGCTGCAAATTTGGAACAACTGGTTGTACTGGCGTATATTTTTGTTGCAAAATATGTTCCCTTTTTTAGTGAGGACAGACTTCACTAAAAGAATGAAATTTAAAAAAACCTCAACCACCTTAGATGCAGGGCTTGGACTCCCTATCACATGCACGTAGACTGACAATGCCAGGTGAACACTGTATGATTTGCTCCGGGTACTTTGAAGCCTAAGACATGACATCTCACCAGATCAACTTCAGCTCTGGTTCCCATGGGCATGCCTCCCTCCCCTCAGCATAACCCACCAACAGAGATGGATTACAAATCTATAGGTTGGGAAAGCGATCACGGACGGGTCAGATATCACACGAGTGTTCCTGCTCCATTGGCAACACTGCGGCACACAGCAGGGGGAAATTTATGGGGCCAGGAATGCAGCTTGCTGCAGTTAGCTGTGGCTGTGTGGGGTTTGGTGCCTAACTGCAGGCTCCCCCGCAGCACAGTGGGGTGGAGAAGGCAAGAGGTGAGCACCACAACTGCAAGCCCAGTTTCTGCCTCCAAGCATTCAGTCAGAGTTACTGGCTTCATCCTGCACTGAGAGCCTGCTCAAACCCAAAGATGAACTCTCACCTTACAGGGAAACGTATAGTCATTTAGAAACCCAAGAAGGGCTCCCAGAACAAGAGGAGTGAAAGTTACACACCAATGGCAAAGCACGCAGGAGCTCAAAGTGTTAAGGCAACGACTGAAGTAGCACAGTGGCTATTTCAGACCCTCACTTTACCCCCCCCCTCCCCGGCGTGTTACATGCTCTCTCACAGACATCTTCCAGGGAAATCGCTTCCCAAGAGATCTGAGGATGAAAATGGCCATTTCTCCTCCTGAAGAAAACCTGGAACACAGCTTTATCCCTCTATCTTATCCTCTAAAGGGACTCTCCTTCCTTCAGAGGATAAAAAATAATTGGCAGAGAACTTTCAAAAACTATACCCTGAGTTATTTGATAACACTCATATTAATCAGAAAAGTGAATCCAGATAAGAAGTAGTACATACTCCGTGATTTGTATTTACATCCTTGTTTACTTCAATTTCTGTTGCTGTTCAAAGCTTTCTAAACTAGAGCTGCTGTTTGGTGTTTCCTTAGACAGGGGTTTTTTTTAAATCTGTGGTAAGATAACACCAACATAAATTACTTCCTTAGTTTGCTGTACTGTAAAAACATTTGTTTTACTAAAACAGTAGTGAGGAAAGACAAATAAGGTTACAGATTTAATGAAAAGGCATATATCAATATGTAGCAAAATTTGGTCTCATTAGCCAGCTCCCTCTAGAACAAGACCAGCACTTTTTAGACAAGTCTTGTTGAGAAAAATGGTCTACATTGAGTTTCTCCTGCATTCTGTAGTATTTCCATACCGACATACAGTCACAAGATTAATTACAGTTACATATTTTGGTAGCGTACAACATTTTTGCTTATATAAGCATATCTTAGAGAGACCAGGTAAATATAAGCTATTCCTATGAGATGCACTAAAGCTGTGTCCACCTACAGGAAAAAGTAATCCATTTTAAGCTTATTTAACAGTGCCTGCTAGCGTTGACATTACAAGGATTATGTTCTTTCAAAGCACTTACCAAAACCAATGAAAGACTGGCAAATACTTGCCTAAGGATCTGCCTATAAGTATACACACGCCGTAAGAGCGTTCCCGTTTTCTCACCTGCATGCCCAGACAAGATAATAATCGTGCATTCTACTTCTCTGTGGTACAGCTACTTACAGAAAAAGTCTGTGTGTATAAGTGTCTGAGTGTACATATAATTATCTCCAGAAAATAGCTGTAAAATATGGTCACAGTTTACACTGTAATCAGTATCACACTTTGGAAGTTACTGGTAATATTACAAGTTATCTTAGTAAAGAAATTCCACCTCTACTGAAGTTTCTACCGTTAACTTCCATTAGCTTCAGTTTCAGTGTAAGGATTGAATACTAGTATCCTGACACATTACAATTTAATCTTGACTTTTCCTCAATCTGTTGGTCAATTTTGGCTGCTGCAAATTTTTAACCAAAACCTGAAAGAGGTGCTTTAAGAAGAATATACACAGGTATCAAAAAATATGTTGTCACCTGAAACACTGCCTATGGGGGTCTAGAACAAGGATAAATCAAATAGTATGTTACCAACTCTGTTTTTTCTGGCACTCTTGTCTCTATTTTATTTGGAAATACGATAGTCATCTGATTCAATGTCGTGTTATATAGAGGTTTTGGGGGGATGGCTAGAGAGAGAGGCAGAGAAAGTATTAGCTCCAATCCCCTTGACTCCAAACTTAACTGTTAGTATGTTTATCCCCATGGGCCCAGACATCTGTCAATGCTTTCATGAAGAATGCTGCATAAGATGTATTACAACTACTCAATAACCGATTCAGAAAGAAAAAAAGAAACAGTACCACTAACTGCTGGCTAAGTGGTTCTTTTGATTACTTGTTAGTTGTAGATTTGATTTGAAAACAAACAATGTGTTGATATAAACATTTTGGAGGTTGGAGGCACTTTCACCTCTGAAGAAAAAGAAAAAAAAAAAAATCACAGGTAGGGGTAGCAATGCAGTTTATGGGAAAGCTGAACTCCCTCTTCAATATTCATTTACAATACCACACTACCAGAAAAGACTTGTTAACAAGGGTTCTTTTTCTGTGCCAGTTTCCTAAGTTTCCATACTGCCTCCCACCACGCAAGAGGTTTTATTTTCTTTTGATTAAGAGAAGAAACCTAAAGTCTTTTTGAAATTAATAGCCAAACTCACACAACTTCAGGATTCAAAATCAGTGACTTAGCCTGCATAAGTTACAAGCGTCCAGCCTTCTCTTTTGAAGATGGGGAAAACAGTTGTACATGTCACATCTTAAATTTAAAACTTAAGGATAAACATGTTGGTGTTAGCAGTTTTAGTTCCTTTCTCTTTCCAGCTAGCAGCCCTCTTCCCCCTGCTTTTCCACATTCATACGTTTTTGCTTGGTGCATTTTCATCTCTTTTTTGGACAACTTATTTCAATAGTTACATCATTCGCCCTGTCATAAAATCTGAATCTGGACACAAGTCAAAGAATTAAAACCAAAACACATACTTCTTCTCGCTCCAAAAGGAATCAAGTTTGTAAAAGTATTTACTGTAAGACTTCCCAGAAAGTGAACATTTTTAGAACCAGCTCAAACCTATCAACAAGCTGTTAAAACTCTGTTAAAATGTCACGTGTGTGCAGGAGGAAGGGTAAACAACCATCCGCTGATTTCAGAGCTTTCCAAATTTTTCTTAGGGTTTTGAAATCTTTCAATTTGAAGCTATGCCATCACAGGCATTTCTTTCCCCAAGAACAAAATAAGGTACTCAGTAAACTGATAAATGCTCTTTTATTTGGAAAGAGTAAGGCTCAGAGTGTGACCAAAGTATAGTTTGAACATTTAGAAGTAAATCTGTCCATTCAGTATTTATTTCCTATCAAATGTTCCAGTCTCCCTACTTTGTCCTCTCCATGAAGTTGATGTAAAACAATAAACAGGTTCAGATTAGGTATTCCCTTTCAAAAAAAAAAAGAAATAAAAAAGGGACAGTCTCCCACAACCATGATGCTCTCAAGGTTTTGACTCACTACTCTGTCCAGTAGCTGGAAACAAGCGCTGTAAAAAAAGCGAACACACATAACAGCCACCTTCATTAAGGACAGCTGGGGCAGGGGTGCGTGGGGCTGTTGTGTCTCATTTGAGTAATGGGAAATATTTCCTATCCTGGAAGAGATTAATGACATTTTTAGGGTGTGCGACTGCACTTCAGTGCTGGAAAAATTAAACTAATTCACAAGAACGGCTCGTGAAGAACTGACATTTAACCCTACAACACTTCTGGTTTTGCGAAGTCTTAAGAAGTGTCCCTTAGTTAACTTGTGGGTAAGAGTACTTTCTGCCTTACACAGAAACGGAATGCACTCAAGCTCTTTGGAGAACCTGACAAAGGGCATTGTATTTCTGTAAAGCTTTACATTTCTTTAAAATTTTATTTTAGGAAAAAATCATTGTGTAACACATATTCATTGTAAGGATACATCAAAGCCCACTCTAACGATTTCTGTAATGTTTCTTTTACATACAGAGATTCTGCAGAATCAGTGCAGGAACCAGCAAGTAAAATTTGACCTGTTTTTCCTCAACGGGTCATTCACAAGAATCTACGTGGCAAGCATGAAATCCATTTCCAATGCCAAGCAGAAGCTACAAATGTCTACTTCAAATACATATTTAAACCACTTGCAAGCCAAGGGAGAGCAGCTCACCTTGCATTTTGGACACTTCTGGGCATTCCTCTGCCCGTGTTCAATTTCGTTGGCCCAGTGACGCAACAGCTTGTCTCCCTTCTTGTATTCTTTGCAGTTAACGCCTTCATGCCAGGGAGAGTGGCACTTGAAACACCAGACAAATTGGCAAGACGGACACTGGATCTGTACAAATGAGAAAACACCACACGTTTGCAAGCTGGGCACTGACCCAACTGGAAAACCACTGCTCTTCAATTAAGAGAGTAGCTGCCCAGCAAAAGTCTAACATCTTTTGAAGGATCTGTTTTAAAAACAGAAGTTGTGGAAGCTAACTTGTTCTTTTTCTTTTTAAAAGAGAGAAAAATACAGAACTAATTGCTAAAGCCAGGAAAGGCCCAAATCAAACAAGGCAAAAGTAGCTTAGTTTAAGCATTGGAACTGCTTCCTGAATTCACCGTGTGGCTCAAATGCCAAAAGGCAAAATCCAGGAAGCTTATCCAGTTGCCTCCAATACGTGTGTGAAATCGCCTAAAAATCAGCAGCCAGTTTTCAGTGCCGTGGATCTCAGTCTTTCAGTTATAAACTTAACTGCCAAGGATACTACCAGGGAGTACCTAGTCTTCTGAAGGGCCTCTACAGAAGGGGTTATAAAGCTCATATTAGAAATGGTCCTGGGAAAAGGAGCCAAGAGCAAGGGTCTCAACCAAGGGCCACAACTACGACCTGGAAGTCAGGCACTTCCTTTTGCTCTTAATTGCGTAAGGATGACCTAAGGCTGTGCCAAACAGTCTGCTTGCTACACACCACAGCTAATGGCAAAAACCACAAGCCAAGCTCCTTAAATTGAGAGAGGGTTTATTCTTCCCACTCCCTGGGTTTTAAATCACTGCGTCAAACAGGTACCATCGTCATCATGTCTTCCTCCAGAGCCTGTCTATTTTTTTCTAATTAAAAAAAAGCAGCTATGGCAGCTGCTGTGTTTGTAGAAGTAATAAATACAGGCACATTACAGGTGCTTATCTGATGAAAGACAGGCCTCCTACCTGGATCATGACTAAGGAAAACAAGAAGTAGAAGCCACATTACACAGAGGCACATCTAGGCTCCTGCAACATCTTCACTTCTGCCGTGTTTGGCAGCAAATCTCAGCCAGAAAGATGGGAAGGCCCATCCCTCAAGTGCCTGCTGAGCCCTGTCCACCAGCTCCACTTGCAGCCCATGCCTGGCACTGCCCTGGCTTTGTACTGATGGATGGGACAGAGGAATTCAACCAGCAAAAAAAAAACGCTTTTAGATTTTATCTGTGTTCGGACCTGGTTCACCACTAAACCACAGACATCTCTGTGCTGGCCACATGTGGTGTCAGGGTGCTGCTCATGAAACTACATCCCAGGGTGCAGTCACCTTTGAAGCCCCCGAAAGGTATTTCCTAAGTCCTCACTGCCACCAGTTGTTGTGCCCTCTGCTCAGACACGCTGACCAGTGGTGTGCTGCCTTGGCTCCAGTTAAGAGTCCAAAGTAGGTGCTCTGATCTCCCTTAAGTATTTTGCTGGGGGGTAGCCAAAATTATTATTTATATGTGCAATTTCTACATCTGTCACTACCAGCATCCTAATACATAGCTGATCTGATCTCTGATGCATGACTGAGAAATGATGCAGTCTGCTACCCTTAATGCTATTCCCTCAAGTTGTACGCACAAAGATAGCACTTTTTTTTGCCTTTAATGTTTCATGTTAAAAACCTAATTGACACAATGGCTCAAGCTAAGCATTTTTATGACCCTAGCTGACCCATTTTCAGCGGTTGTCTTTAACTTCACCTGTAGAGAGCCAAGTTTTTTGTTGTTGCTTTTACACTGCAGCAGTGTGTAACAGTCATAGCTTCATTTGTATAAAGTGATGTACCTCTATCTGTGCAGCAATGTTTAACCAAGTATTTTACCTTTAATAGTGGACTTAATATGATGTGCTGCTCAATGCATCACTTCAGCTTACCTCTTTATGCCAATCCACATCTACAAATCAGTAAGCACACGAATGGGAGTTAACGGTTAAGAGAACTAACTATTTTCTCACTATCTGTAAGACAGCATTTCCCCCTCCAGGAGCCTTTGCCTGCGCATAAGGCTGATATGCAAAGAAGGGGAGCAGCATCCAAGAAATTTGCAGATTCTTCATGCTTCGTGTTACAACACATTAACACTGTAGTCAGTTACCTTCTACTAGTTATCATTGTAAAAAAGAAAAATAGCGTACATGTATTTCAGTGTTAGAATACATACACTTCCTTCACATCAAGCAGACTCAAAGAGTGTAATATTAAAATGGATGAAATTCTGATATCCTGTACATGGTGCAAGTCTGACTTACTGCTTTCTATAGCTACAAGGTGACATTTTTGCCAAGGCACACAGAAGAAAACGGCACTTATCACATGCTTCCTGTCAATGAAATAAGTTACTGAAAACCCAGGTAGGCAGCACAAAACCAGGAAAGAACAACACATGAAACTTGTTTGTCAGGGAACAACATATTAAAGCTGCAATGTGTGGATTACAAGCATTATTACTTTTTGCATGAAAAACACAGTTAATGTTTAAGGCCAAGATAAAGTGCAAACTAAAAGCTATACAAAATACAGCCAGTGCTCTTTCTCCAATTTGCTGGTCTACTGTCCCAGATGCTAAACCAAAGGAAATACACTATACTGCTGCTCTGCTTCCCAGACGAATTGTCCTAGTAAAAACACTTTAACAGGAAAGAGGAAAATTCACACTCTTTTGTAACCAAACTGACACAGAGCACTGATCTATGTTTCCACAACACTTTAGAAACCAATATGCACAAGACAGGTTAGATTATTAGCAACTATCCTGCCCAATATCTCCGTATCTTTCCACCCTCCCCGCACCAAGCTTTGAATTTATGTTTTTCAATAGTGCATGGCAGAGCGACCTACTGCTGAAAAAGACAGATTAACAAGCACCAGATTGTATTACTCAGTATTTGTTATGCCTCAGCAAAAGATGGAGTTTGTAACCACAATTAAGTGTTCTGCACCCTGAAAGCTTTTATCAGTTGCAGTATTCAGACATTTCAGATAGAACACGAAATGTTAAAAAACATAAACCCAAACCAACAGATCCAGGAAGCTGCAAGTTAAAGCTTCTTTCTTAAACAAAATGACAACATAATTTAAAATGTAAGTTTTGTGGGTTTGGTTTGGGGTTTTTTTTGGTCAAAATTCAGCAGAAATTCAATGCAGGCTCTGTCTTCCTATAATAGCATGTAATGTAATTGCAAGAAATACAGCAGCCATCCAGATATATATATTTCATCTTACACACACACACACACACACACACACTGACATGCGATGTTTCCAAATACATTACTTAGAAAGTACTGAAATACAGGATGAGGCTATAACAGCATGAACTCAGAATAACATTTGTTACCATGGACGGCCCTGACTAACTGAAGTAAACTAGTGGGAACTGTCTACCGCATTACCAGCTTCGCAGTTCCTAGTTTCCTCTTCCACCTGCTGCCCCTGACAGCACCTTCCTCAAAACTGAACTGTCAAACAGTTTTTATATTTGAACGGGCCACTTCTCTATTGTTCAACACTGTCTGAACATACATGAAGCAGGCAAAGAAACGTATCCTTTTTTAAGTACTTATGAACCTCACTTTTCTTGGAACTAGTGGCTGCAAAACCAAACCCTAAACCTACTCAAACTTGGATGCAGTGTGACACCAGTGTGCTTAAGAAATAGGAACACAACAGGGCAGTTACAGCAGTCTTTCAGATTCTTATTCTAACCTTTCTCTGCTTTTCTGAAAGAAAAAAGTGAAATTGATCTGGTTTATGCTTCAGTATTAGTGCACGAGATCGCCATAATGAGGACACAGAAGGGTTATCTATGTATTTAAACCAGCAAAATATATTATAGTCCAAAGCAGACAAACTGTACCTGAAAAAACCCAAAACATTAACCTAGTGTTTTTTCAAATATGGTTTTTCTCACGCAAACCTTTCTCCATTTATTTTATTAATTCCATTTCAGTCGATCAGAATTGAGAGGATGGATATATACTCAAACTTCTACATCATCTGGAGGTCAGTCTCCCTTGAAATAGAAAAGATTACACAACTTCTCATACTAACCCTTTTGGTTCTCAGCTTTCTGAAACACTAACCTTTCAGGCTAACATTTTTCGTTTTCTTAGCTAGCCTCTTTACTGAAAACTATTCTAAATATCATCTTCCATACCTCCCAGGAAAAGACCATTTAAAATTGGTAGGTAACTTCAATGTAAAACACTGCTCAATGTGACATAGTGACAGCAAAATTGATTGCACGTTAAGAATATTCTGTGAGCCTAAAGCCACAAAAAGCTTAGTGGGATTTTCTGCTGCTTAGTGGAATGCTAGCTATATAACAGGATGGCCAAATTAATCATGCAAGTAACGGATTACATGAATTACAACTTCTAGCTACAGCTACACAGTCACTTTATTCCAAAATAAATACAGGTTCCTGCCAGAACAGCTGCCGCCTCCTCATCACCAACCCATCCCCTCTCTTGTACCAGCTGAAAATAAGCGACAACAAACCAAACAAATCTGGTATGCCATTGAAGCTGATCTTTGATCCATCTCCCAGTGTGACACCAAAACATCAACACAAGCAGAAGCAAGCTGGCAGGAATGAACAGCTGAGAGCAAAGAGGGAGAGCACAGCAAAATCACCACGTCCACAGCGGTTGGGCTCAAGGTAGATTGAAGTGATGTATAGTCATGAAGATACCTGCTACTCAAGGTTAAAAACTGATCCAAAAAGGGGGACTGATGGACTGATTGATATGAACTACACAGGTCTGCTCTATCACAGCATCTTTGCAGGTACAAATTCCTACTAGTTCTAGAGCAACAAACCCTTGAGTAGTTCAAACAAAAGATAGTTTATATAACAACCGCATTGAAAAAATATTTACATTTCCAAAGCCAAGCACTCAAGCCCTTCTTTTATGTGATGTCTCTCTTGACAGAAGCAAACAAGAAAACTTCATTACGGACCTCAGAGGCTGGTAAGGCAGGAACTGAGTCCAAGAAGGCAGGTCAAAGAACTAATATTAAAGACCAGGTGAAATCTAGGGCTTAGGGGAAAGAAACCCAAAAAACCACCCCAAACCCCCTCACAGAAGAAGCCAACATACTTACTCTTGTGAAACCCGTATCTGTTCCATGCATAGGAACTGAACTACCAATTTTTCAATTTTTGCCCACTTCCTTTGCACTTTGGCATACCAGTTTTGATCAAAGGTTTATTACGATCTTGTCTACAACCAAGTCTTACACTCCCAATTTAGGTTGTAAGAGAACGGGTAGGGGTATTTCCTTAAAGCTGGATCCATTTGTGGCTCAAATATTTGATACAGGAAACTGCATAGTCATGCTGCTGTACTGTGCTGTCCTAAGTGGCACTAATGGGAGAAGAAAGGTTTGGATAGCATGTTTCCCTTTTCTTCCCCTCTTCTCTCAACATACATGAACCAACTAACTTTCTTGGCTTAGCACACCAAGAAAAATGAAAAACAGCAGCAGCAAACTGACCTGCTTTAGCTGAAGATCAGTTTAGCTGATATAAACCAGCTATAGTAGGGAAAATTAATCTAATTGTGTTGCCTCCCCTAAATTTAGATGTTATTTATGATTTTAAATAGCGTATCAAATTTTAGGAATGACATTAATAACATTTTTAAAGTATCTTTTCAAATGTACTTTTGGATTTTACAGTGTTTTCCTGTTGCAGTGCGTAGGAGAGCGAGGGTACTGGCACCAAGCCCTTGTGTGCAGTGATCCAAATAGGCTTGTGCACAGACTTTGCTCACACGACTCAGTTCTTCTGTAAGCAGCACTTCCAGTGCTGCTGCAGAATTCATCTGGTGCAATTGCTGTTTATATTGCTTGCATGTGAATACGTGAGTCTCCCAGTCTCCAGTCTTTACCTCCAAAGAGCCTATAATTCAAGGCACAGACAAGATTCACACAAGCAATCACATGAGAATCTAAGAAGACCGAGATAATAATGGTCCACAGCTACAGGTGTTTGTAATTACCCACATATACACAGTCTCATATACAGTTTTCTTCATTATCTTCTTCTACCTTATCCCTGCAGCAAAATTCTTCCTTGTACTAAGCTTAAAATAAGTGACTAAAACCGTACCTGTGCCAGAAAACAACACAGGTTCAGGGAGTAGTCTGAAGCCCTGGACTATGATCACCCATACTGTTTGCTAGCACTTTCCTAATTACATTTCTGAAGAATATCAACTAGTCACTCTTCCAGGCAACTCAAAGGACACATTCTGCCAGAGCCTGTTCCCAAGAGACTTGGGCTCTGCAGATGAGAGCTACACATAATGCATCACCACGGGACCAGGAAACTGCTGCTGGCTTGCACTATTTCATGCATCACACAGCCTCCCATTCCTTCTGATTATCATTTGTAGGGAAGTGGTGGGAACATTTTAACTCATAAAAGAGCACTGGCGGACAGAACAACTCATCCTGCACTGTGAGGAATGTTCTCAGAGTTGGCATGCCCATGATACAACTCCTGCACCACTTGTGACCCACACTGGAGGGACAATAACAGCTTCTGGCACCTTACGAGAGGCTGCTGCAGAAGCATTACAACCTTTGACCTACCCTAGACCTGTCCACCTCTGAAGGAATGCTAAGCAGATGGGTGAAGCTGAATGGCTGTGGGCAGAAGGAATTTAACTGCAGTTTCTAATTTCTCCACCTCCACATAAGATTCCAAAAATCTGAAAATGTTGAGTCCAACAGACTAGGCTGGATATAATTCATGCACTGCACAGATATACATAAGTAGCTCATAACTCAGAGTTGGCTTCACCAAGGTTTCAACTCCACTGGATACACGACCTGCTACCTTTTAATCTCCATTCTGTGCTGAATCTTAGGCTGTATAATTAGGGCTATCTAAACAATCATCTAAACTCCTACTAAGAACTGGTTTGTCCAGGAAAGGCCAGCCCAATCATGAAATTAACCACAACAAATCTAATAAGCGGCTAGAAAACTAACACAGAGCATGATGCTAGACAGAACCATCATCTTCTGGAACTGAGCTGAACCTTCAACAGCTCAACGTTTCTTCTAACTGGAACCTCTTGTGTTTTATCTTTGATTGAAATCACAGTACGAGCAAATCTTCTACTAAAATGAATTCTGTATAAGTAGGTTTTTTCCCGTTTCTCAAGTTTTCCATATTGTGACTGGCAAGTATGCACTAACGCATAACCTCTGGTAAGGGACTGAAGAAAGCAAAACCAGGAAGCAGGACAGAAAACAGCTACATTTCTACAGAAGGAGCAAGCCAACAGCCTAACATCATAAATGCCCAGAATTCATTTGCCCAGAGTTTCAGGGAAAACTCATCTTTGCTAGAGTTGTGTGTCTAAAGTTATCAGTTTATAGTGATAACTCCCCTTCCTCAATCTCTTCTGATCATGACCATATTGTCTGCACATCAGAAAGAAAACACTCTTTAAATTAAAATGTGTGTCAGGACAAAATTACAGCACCTGCCAAAGAAATAAAGGCTGAAGTTCAACTGCTTGAACTGTTAGTAATCAATTAAGTAGTTAATCAATGATGTACTATACATTCATATTCCTAACCACAGCTTGCACACAGCCCCAGTGACGCAAGAAAGCTCATTCAATGCCCACCAAATGCTGTCCTACTTTTGCGGTGCCATCTAACCCACGGCCCTGGCAAGCATGCTCACTTTGTATTTGTTCTCCAATTTGGCAGGGGTAGGAATGTGGCCTCTCCTCCGGAAGGTTGTAAAGTGCTTGCACTGAGGGCATGGCTTGGTGCTGGAGTCAATGCGGCTGAGTTCCAGGAAATATTTATACTTGATGATGTCGTCGTGGGGCAGGTTATAGAGGACAGTTGTCTCATCAAGGTGTTCGCTGCACTCTGTGATCGGGCATTTTATATCCACTTGTCCCAGCTGCACCTGCATGTGAAAAAACCCAGAAGAGCTGTATGACCTTTTGTTTGGAAAAGTTAAGCAAGTATTTGTGAATTTTGTGAGGAAATTTAATTTCAAGTACTGTAACAATCCACAGACTATCAAGCATATCATCTTAAAATGATTTTGACTTAGTCCAAGCACACTGCATTTTTTCTATTTACAAATTCAAACAGAAAAGCTAATTACCCTTACAACAACTGCACATATTAAACGTACAGTCTCAGTGTATGTACCACGGCTGCATACTCCATGAAACCAAAACACAAGTCCTAAGTCGCAGCATCCACTCAACACTCCATGCTTCGAGTTTAATGGGTCAGTGCTCCACTATCAGGGCTCGTACAGGCTGTGAGAAAGCAGGCAATAGAAACATTTGTATAGTGTTTCATTGCAAAACATGCTGGGAATCACAGCACAGAGAAACTGAAGTCAATTTAGGATCATGAGAGTTTGGCAGCTCTGATTCAGTGCTAGCCCTAAGCTGGTTCCTGATCAGCAAGCTCAGCGCCTCTGCAGGCTGCTCCCAAGAAGCTCCTTACACACCACACTGCATGCGCAGAGTTAGCTGAGCTTCAGGCTGACCAATAACAAAATTTTCCCAAAACCACCCTGACCAAAAAAACTTTTTAAAAAACCCCTAAAAAACACAATAGCAACAAAAACCATGCACAGAAGCAAGCTCAAGGTTGACAGGGCTAAAACTAATAAGCCCTGATGGTCCCAAGCTGATCCATATGGTCAAGTATCTGCAACATGTTTCCAGAGCTCCTGAATCTCAGAACAGTGCTGGACCCAGGTCTGCACTCTTCAGGCTCAGCAGGCTTTAACAGCTCGGACTCCATGCCAAAACAGCAGATCCTACTTGGTCTGGGAGCAGCAGAGTTGCATTTGCTTGGCACTGAGCCTGAGTTAATAAACTCTGCTGGATCTTGAGTCTGCAAGGACTCAGTTTGAGCGTGTTTGTGTTTGCCTCAAGTAATCTTGGATAAGTGAGTGCTGACTGTACAAGTGGAGCTGACCACCAGCCTAATTCCTCCCTTATTGAATATCTCCATGCAGAGAAAAACAGGTTTAATGGTGTAACCAGCATCTCTTTCTAGGAATTACTGTTTCAAGGCTGGCAAGTCTGATTTCCCTAGGCTGCTTATTCTTTAACATGCTCCATTATGGGAATCTGTCAAACAATACACTAAATACGATAGGAATGCCTCAGATTTGGATGCAGGTCTCGCTGCTGCATAGCGGTACCTGAAGACACGTCAGAGACTCCACTCATGCAGTATTTAAGCTAAGAAAAAAGAAAAACAAAACTAAAAACCAACACAACACAACCCTGTCATTGCTGCCTCAGCAATGGAGCCATACGGGCTCTAATTGAATACTAACTAATTTAGTCAGGAGCCAGAGGATTAGAGGAGTCATAACAAAATGGTATAAAACCCAAGGTTTAAACTGACTTAAAGAAATCCCTGTTGCTCTCTCAGCAATCTAGCTAAACCTAGGCAGAGCAAAGATGTTAGGTGAGAAAGAGAAAAGCAGAGTGAAGATGGCAGCAGCCCATCCCAGACCAGAGCACCTCAGCAAGAACTCGAGCATGTGACATCGCTAGAGTGACTCTTCACAAAAGAATCACCCAGTACATCATGGAGCTGTGCTTAAAAAGCAGAAAACTATCAATTCAGCACTAGAGCACTCAAACACACAAAACTAGGAAAACAATTTGCTACAAAAATATAAAAAGCTATTGACTACTGCAAGGATCAGTACAAGCTTCTGTTTAAAGAAGCGTAGGTACACAATTTAAAACCAAACAGCCAAATTAATCCCGTCTACAACTACTTCAGGGTTTTGGGGGTTTTTTTAAGCATTAGGGAAAAGAGGCAGGCCATTTTGCTAAGAGTAAACTAAGCTACAATGGAATAGCACTTCAGAGTGAGAAGGTGCGTTAGATCTGGCATCTAAGCTGGTACTTAAGCAGCACTGCTTATATTAAATGTTAGTTAGAACAAACTTGCGTTTATAAAATGAAGGAATACAAAGCCGAACCCTTTCTATATTTCATGCCCACACAGAATATGATTAATATACGTGGTAAGAGTCAAGTGTGGTTTCAGTGTTTATTTTGAAAATATGTTTTACACCCACTTTAAGTAAATCATTTTTATCCTCTGTAATAGTTTTAGCCTTTCAAGTTTGGCAAAGATTGATCCTTTTCCTGTGTTCTGAATAGGACTAAGTGAACAGAGATGGTTTGCTTATTAGCAGTAACTTCAATGGAGCCTTGTCTTACAAAAACAGTCCATCTTTGTTTGTGCACCAGCATCAGCAATTGATGGAAGCACAGCTTTAGAGGTAGCCTGTTAGGCTACCTGCTGCTGCAAACCCAGGAGGCACTACGGAATGGGAAGGAAAAATAAAAACAAAACAAAACAACGAAAAAATTCTTATAACATGGTTAAAAATAACTGGTTTTATTCTTTTCCTTGATATTTTTTTAAATTTATTTATTTATTTATCGTTTGGAGAGCCTTATCCTTCAATATCAGCTTATCACAATGTCAAACCCCTGAGCTTTGGAAGTCTTTGAATTTCAAAATACCATTTGCATTAAGAACTTCAAAACTTTTGGTATACACAACAGTATGGTACATTATCACAGCATGAGGAACGATCCAAGATGTGTCTAAAAGCAGCTGAGCTGCAGTACAGTGTTAAATGTCAGGCAGCATCCAGTTCTTATGCCCAGCTGTGCTTCACTTCTGTGAAGCATCTCAGGAGGGGCTAGCTGTGCTTACAATTCATAAGGAGAAAGCAGGCTCTTGTGACTTTCATCCTACAGAAAGGTAACATTTAAACTATCAGAAGACCAATATGTACCTCTCCCCCATTCTTGAGATTTTATTAGAAAAGACTTGGGGCAGGGGGGTGATGTCGGTCAGGGGGCCGATGCGGGGCAGGGAGCCAACCAGACTCTACACTGGTCCACTTACTGCCCTGAAATGCAGCGATACCAGCCACAGAAAACATAAACAGATGGCATGGCACTTTAAGTCAGAAATTTTTTTCCACCCCCTGAGCTTTCTTTTAAAGGAAATCTTTGTTAGCTACACAGAAAGCAAAGCTCAAGCTACATCAAGAGAAGCACTGATTTATACCTGTCATTTAGCCTGGCCCAAGCTGGATGTAATGTAACTTGTGCTGGGTGTACTTGGGCAGCTGTATTACAGCTATATTCCTTAAAGAAGAGGCTATTCTAGTTTAAAATAGACATCTACAAACAAGCATTTCCTAACTGAAACTTTACTCTTAGTTCAGAGATGCATATGCTAAATAAACCACTAAATTATTCTTACTTCTCACCTATTAATGCTGAAAGAGAACACTGCCATGTCTAATCTGCACCTCCGTAGAGAAATTTAATTTCTACCAGTGCATCAAGTTCTCCCCTGTAAACTACCAAGGATGTTACCCATAAAAAAAAATATTCTGGAAATGCATACATGCAAGTGAAGGGACAGTCTAGTCTACAAAACCTTCATATTCTATAGGGGAAGAAACAAATGGATTAAAGTTCCCTTTATTTATAAGCAAAATTACATTGCTGTCTAGTGCACTGGAAACATTGCTTTCCTTTTTGCTGTTAAGTTGCAAATCAGAGAAGAATTACTTTTCCTGTAGGTTTGGGAAGCAGAAAGTGTAATTTTGAATTTGTTTTTTTTTGTTGTTGTTGTTTTTTTGTTTTTTGGAAATTATGGAAAATACCTGAAGGGCTCACCATGGTTCAGGACTCCACAGTGGTAGGCACTAACCAAATAAAATCCAAGTAGACATGATTCAACACGATCAACAAGTATAAACCAAAGACAGTGCAAACTTTCACTAAGCATTTTGCACCTGCCTTTAAGGTTGTGATTCCATGACTGAATGTGTGGTTTGCATACTAACTTCAGCAGTCCAGATCCCCTGTCTCTGATTTCTGCCAGTGATATCCTGGCATTCTCCATCAAATGCCTTTAAAAAACAAAGTAAAAATAAATCTTAAAACAGATTCTCTTTTTCAGTCCATCTGTCCTACCTCCTTACTGTCAAATGGTACAAATCCTCATGCTGCAAGACAAGCAAGAATGAACAGTAAATAGATTAAGGGCTTCTTAAGTTGTATCATCACCAAATAGGAAAACAGACTGGGTTTCTCACGTGCCGCCACCTCCTCCACTGGCCAACTTCACAGGAGTTCTTGCCTATTGTTTGTTACTTCACAAATGATACTATGTTTCACTTTTATTCCCCTTTTTATTAATTTCTCAATACAGCAGATTTGCAATAAATTACTTTCTGAATCCCTTTCTCATTAAGTTACCCCACCGTCTTCTCTGCCAGCCACCACCTGTAACCTCACTCTAGTCAAGAGCTGTTGCTCCCCTCCTCAGGAGGGAAGGTCTTCACCAGCCTTAGCAGGGCATATATTGCTGACCTCAAAAGGATCCACAAAGAGTTCAAAATAGTAAGGAACTCCTGCACACCAGCACTGAACCAATAATAGTTATACTTTTAGTTTTAATTCACATTTTCTGCTATGCCAGGAAGTATCTGAGTGACCACCAAAACAACTAGAATGACCAGTCTTTCTTCATAGTCAGTGGAGAATGAGGAAGGTGGCTGAGGCAATTCAAAGAAAGTGGCAAATGTCAACAGTACCTTTAAGATGTCTAAGAGAAAAAAACACCACTTTTCCCCACCTCAGGGATTAAAAGTAGTCCAAGAAACCGAACTTCTCCCAGTACCAATGTCTGACAGGTATTCAAAAAGAAATGCGGAGAATTTCTATATATATATATATATATATGACAGATGTCTATTTTAAGTTGTATTTAAAATGGCCATTATTAATAAGTACAACCAGAGACTTTGACTTAAAAAAAAACCCCAAAAATCAGATTTCTATTGTGTCACAAGCTCATGTAGACCAACCTTGAAAGGGC